AGAGGAGAGAAAGAGAGAGAGAGAGAGAGTAAGAGCGACTGAGACAGAAAGACAGAGAGAGTGCTGTGGAACCATGGGTCTCCTTTCTGACACACCAGCATTTCTACTATTGACAGTATCAGCGGGTTAATTAAGCAGTCTGTTAGTGATAATGTTAAGAAAGCTGGCACATTTTCAACTTAGATTGACACCATTCAGGACTCAGGCATAACTGATGTTGAATAGCAATGCTAGGGGGGAGAGAGAGAGACAGAGAGAGAGACAGACAGAGAGACAGACAGAAAGAGACACACACAGAGACAGAGACAGACAGACAGAGACAGAGGAAGCAAGACAGGCAGAGAGAGAATGAGTTACTTCAGTTATGCTGATGGCCAGCTCAGTGTCAAGGCCTGAGCAAAACATGCTCCTGTCTGCTGCGGATGCTTTCACAGCCAAACCAATGCAAAGTCCTGCAGTAGATAAGTGCTCGGGCAAGTTCCCACGAGGGGGTTCACAGGGGAGCTCAGCCTGAGCCTGCCCAGAACAGACAGGTCTGTCAGTGCAGAGCACCCTAATGGGGGCAAAAGAGGTGGAGCAATGGGCTTCTGATTAGGGGAAAATAAGATAGTGTAACTCACTGACTCCAAGTTGTATTTTCCTATTCGATAGTTTGTGTGTGTGTGGGGGGTACGTTCTGGGGTTCAAACCTACAAGCACCCACTATTGAGCTACACCTCAACCCTTTTATTTACTATTTTGACAGGATCTTGCTAAACTGCCCACCCTGGCCTTGAACTTGCCCTCTTCCTGTCTCATTTCTTGAGTAGCCAGGATTATGGGCCTGTGCCACTGCACCCAGCCCCATACCTCCATGTTCTAAAATTCATGATGTACCTTTCAGTGTCTATTGGGGCCCCAAGGATGAGGGGCTCTTACGTGCTCCCTAACTCAACTATTTGTACCTGCGCAAACTTTGCCAAGAGTAGAGGCATCGCTATTCAAATGTCACCTCAGCCGACCATAGCAATCCACACAGAATTTGAACTTAAACTTAGATTCCTAATTGTTGCCTAAAACATCTTTTTAAAACTTACACTATAATGGTGCACGGACATGAAAAGTTATTGTACATGCAGAAGATCGTCTGCCAGATACCAGGCAATGCAATTAAAGGCAGTAGAAATTGCCAAACCATAGATAGCTACCCTAAAGAAATGCTTGCCCATATGCACAAAGAGACATTTACAAGGATGTTAATTATAGCACTGTTTGTAAGAGCAAATAATTAGAAACAACCTAAATGTCCACCATTAGGGAACTCACATGGGACGATCTCCAAAACAAATTATTATACGAAAAAAGCTACTGAGTGTGTGCATGATGATTTACTGTGTGTAAAGACCTGTA